CTATATTTACTTTTATTGTTTTATTTATTTCATATTATTTTTGGTAATATTTAATTTTGTGTTATTGTATTGTCTTATTTCTGTTTTAATTTTTTTCTTTTATTTAAAGTTTTAACAATTCTGTTGTGTTTTTGTCATTTTTTAATAATTATTTAGTATTTTATATTATTTTTGTTGCTTTATACACATGCATACGCAAGTTATTGTGTTGTATTATTTTTATTTTTTACACACACACACACACACACACACACACACACACACACACACACACACACACACACACACTACACCAACCCTACCCCTAACCCTACCCCTCACAGGAAACTTTCTGCATTTTTAGATTTTCAAAAAACTTAATTCTGTATGATTTATAAGCTTTTGTACCCGTGGGGACCACAATTTAGGTCCCCACCGTGACACGAGTCCCCATGAGTCTGTGTGTAGTCAGGTTTAAGTCCCCACCAGGATATATAAACCAGTACACACACACACACACAATTTTATCATACAAAAAATAATTTTTTTAGTTAATTTGATATTTCAAATATATTAATATTGCCAAAAACGTCATAGAACAATATGCAAAATGTATTATCATGACTTGACTGAACAGGTAAATTGGTCATTTGGTTTCTAGACGTTGATGGATTAATGCTCTCAGCAGCCAATGCTTTAAATTTTCCTGCAAAGGAGCATGCAAAGTTTACAGACATGAATGCTTGCTCAGTGCATTGATTGCAATATGAACATACTAGGAAGCTTTTTGTGTTTGCATGCATGCACAGAGTTTGAGTTCCTGGAGAAACTGTGGCGCTAGCAACTCCAAGGTCATGGAAGTCACTTTGGATAAAATAAATGTAAATGAATGCTTTCCAGCTGTGATATGGCCAACATAGAGGTCCTTAGATATTAATCCTGCACATTTCCCTTCATATCTAAGCTTTTTTTTTTTGCTAAAGGATTTTTACAGGATGTGCTGCAGTGCCTGCAGGTTGGATTAGAAAACATCAGAAAACACCCTCGCAAACACAGGTACACTGTTGAGACCGCTCACAGATCGCATCAGCTTTTGTTTTATTTTAAGCAACCTATTTGTGTACAGACATCTGATAAACATCTTAAATGTACATAATAAATCCTAAATGTTGTGAAAACATTTGCTGAATGTTGCTTTAACATCCAACAGAAAACATTTATTTAGAAAACAACATACTGTAGTCGAACAAATGCTTTAAAAATTGCATTGTCCACCAGGGTTATAGTAGTTAACTAAAACTAAAGTCACAAAAAATAAATAAATAAAACGATAAATAAAAAAATACATTTTCGTTACTTGAAATAAAATGACTGTGACTGAACTCCATTAAGTCTCCTAAGATATGAAAGCAGTGTTTGTTTGTTTGTTTAATACAGCAGAGGTCTTGCTGACATGCATGGAAGAGTAATACAAAACAGACAGGCTGAGACCATAAACAGGACAAGCCAGACAATAGTACAAATTAAATATTTAGAGGAAAGAAGGCTGTTCTTACGATGAGTGTGAAGTAAACGATAGAGCAACGGTGGTGTTTTATTGCGCATTGCATGTTCTCTGAACCCATCACATTGGCGAGCGCTCCAGACACGATTAGCTTCATGGCTCTGGGCAAGCATGGCATGCTGAGGAAGCATTGTGCTCATTACAAATCTCATTCACGTCGCTCCCTGCATCTTTTTTTTTCAAAACCGACCGCACTGGCCACCCACCAGACCCCCCCGGCGGAGCCGAGTCCATGCACACTGCTCCGCTTTAATGTGCTCCAGCCTCGCCGCTGCTCAAAGAGGAAGAACATTAACCAACACCTCTGGCTAATTTGCTTAATTTCTGTAAATGAGGCCTTTGGCCTCTGGAGTGACTTTTAGGTGGAGTGGATGGTATTATTGTCTGGTGCCGCAGCCTGGGGCGGCTGGATGGGTATTAAACCCGAGCTGCTCGAATTACCACCGTCCGAGTGGGAAAGGCTTCACCAGGTGACTCGGGCGCATTAATTCATTTAATGGAGAAGCGCAGAGAACACCAGAGATACGTTATCATGACACAGCACTTCCAGAAGGACCAGAACAACAACTGGCCATCAGCACAAACCAGATCAATGGTGTGAAAACTGTGTCCAGGTCATCAAATATGTTGAGCTGGGAAATCTGAGATAGATAGTTGATTGGTTGGTCAGTGTTAGTTTCAGGTAAACCATCCTTTTGTAGGTAGCTAAATAAAAGCATGGATGGGCTAGATAGATAGTTGGTTAGTTAGTGTATCAGTTCAACCATCTGTTTATAGTTAGTATGTTTTAGTAAGTAACAGTTGGCAAAGTCTGTCCAGTTCCCAAAGAGTTTTTCAAACAGTAAGCATTCTGAGTTGTTTGGTTGGTTGGATAATAAAAATAATATAATAATAATAAATAATAATAAACTTTTCTATAGCGCCTTTATAGCATCTCAAAGCACTGCACAAGAATAAGATCAAATAGAACATATACAAACAATGCATTAATAAAAATGAAATACAGACAAAGATAAAATACCAAATAAAAACAAACTCTGAAAAATTCAATAAGTAAGTAGAAAAATAAGAGAATTACAAAATAATCAGGTAAAAGCTACCCTAAAAACATACGTTTTATGGGAAGATTTAAAAGCCTGCCTAATCTTGGCAGGCAAAGAATTCCAAGGTTTTGGAGCAAGTGAAGAAAGGATGGTTAGTGTTAGTTTCAGGTAAACCATTAGTTAGTTGGCTAGTGGGTTGGTTTGTTGCTTTAGTTAGTAACAGTTGGCACAGTTTCTCCAGTTCCCAGAGAATTTTCCAAACAATAAGCATTATGGGATGTTTGGTTGGCCAGTGTTGGTTTCAGGTAAACCTGGTTTCAGGTTACTTAGTTGGTTATTGAGTTGATTAGTTACATTAATTAGTAACATTTGGCACAATCTGTTCAATTCCCAGAAATTTTTCCAAAAGATAAGCATTGTGGGTTGGTTGGATGCTTGGTTAGTGTTAGTTTCAGGTAAACCATTATTTAGTTGGTTTGTTAGTTAGTTGATTAGTTACTTTAGTTAGTAACAGTTGGCAGAGTCTGTCCAGTTCCCAAAGAGTTTTCCAAATGAGAAGCATTTTGGTTGGTTGGTTAATGTTAGTTTCAGGTAAACCATTATTTAGTTGGTTTGTTAGTTGATTAGTTAGTTTAGTTAGTAACAGTTGGCACAGTATGTCCAGTTTCCAGAGAGTTTTCCAAACAATAAGCATTCTGGATTGGTTGGTGATAGTTTCAAGCAAGTTAGTAAGTTAGTTGGTTACTTTGGTTAGTTAGTCACAGTTGGCACAGTATTGTCCAGTTCCCAGAGAGTTTTTCAAACGATAAGCATTCTGTGTTGGTTGGTTAGTGTTTGTTTCAGGTACACTTTTAGTTAGTTAGTTGGTTAGTTAGTAGTTTGGTTAGTAACAGTTGGCACAGTATGTCCAGTCCCAGAGAGTTTTTCAAATGGTAAGCATTCTGGGTTGGTTTGTTGGTTAGTGTTAATTTCAGGTAAACTGTTAGTTAGTTAGTAGTTTGGTTACTAACAGTTTGCACAGAATGTCCAGTTCCCAGAGATGTTCCAAACGATAAGCATTGTGGGTTGGTTGGTTATTTAGCATTAGTTTCAGGTAAACGTTTAATTGGTTGGTTGGTTGGTTAGTTAGTTACCATCCGTTTGTAGATAGAAACAATGATAGTTAATATATGGATAGATGGATGTATAGATAGACAATATTTCAGTTAAAACAGCTGTTTGCAGATAGTTAGGCTTAGTTTGAAATAAACCATCTGTTTGCAGATAGATAGTTATGTAGTTATGGTTAGTATCTGTTTACAAACACACATGCTGGTTCGTTCTTCCTGTGTCTTCTCTCTCTCACCCTACTTCTGTTTTCTGTTGTCTCCTGCTGTCTGTCTCTCTTTCATCAGGTGTTGTCTTTGATCCATTGCAGATCTCTCTCCATCATCTCTTCATGTGTCACTGACGTAAAAACCGTACTGCGGCGTCGGGTCAGCGCTGCAGCAGAACTTTAAACGCGCTCTTCGGTTCCTCCAGGACGCTGCCAGTCAGTGTTGCACCAGAAAGCACGTCAATCACCATGTTTGAAGGTTCCTGACACTTCATCAAAGTTGTAGCTCCTGAAGAAGCCTTGCCAGCTCGTTGTCGAGTACTTATGGAATGATTTTTAAAACAATACACAACTGCGCATGCAATAGCATCTTGAAACTGAGTTCGCTGACAGCACAACTTGTTGACATGCACTGCCTTCAAAGCACAAAAAAATCTGCTTGACGGGTGGTGCAACATCATTCACGTATGACTAACATAACTCAACACAACCCTTGAGAAGTGTTTGTGGTTCTAAATTAAGTTTTACATTTGGGAGATGATGCATTCTTTTCACATCTCCTTCCTCTTCTGCAGGCCGTCCTCAAAAACATCATCACGAAATTCATTTCGAGGAGAATTACAAAAAAGAAGCAATGTGCATTATACAAATTGATGCTATACAGCCTAAATGGATATTGATCGCACACAATGATCAAAGAGCGAATAAATCTGAGCAAATAAAGCATGCTTTGATGAGCGAACGGATGATAGAGAGCATCAGTATGGGAGGTCGAGTACAGAATCATAACCAGAAACGACAGCGTTTGACAGCGTCTGACTTCAGGTGACATTAGATATCAGGATGATATCCGGCCACTGTGTACAGTTTACTGTATCATTTTCTCAGTAAATACCCATACAACCTACTACATTTACCAAAATGTGCAGTACACACTCCATCTGCTCTGGTTGTGTGTGTTGTTTATGGGTCGAAGTCTCATTTAATAACCTTTATGTTCAGTATTAGATGCTGTTTCCATATGCTCATTACTAGAATTACTTCTGTGGTTTAGATATTTTTATGATCAGTTTTAGTGCTTTACAGTAACACACAACTGTAGTCATATTTCATTTTGCTCTCTTAACATGACATTTCAAAGTGAACAGGCCATACAAATGTGTGTGTGTGTGTGTGTGTGTGTGTGTGTGTGTGTATACAGTACACACACACACACACACACACACACACACACACACACACAAACGGGATCGTAGACATAAACTGGATCTTAAAGAGATCTTAAAGGGATAGTTTACTCAAAAATAAAAAATTGTCACTCTTATGTTGTTCCAAACCTGTATGACTCTTTATTCTGTTAATGTGTCTTCAAATGTAACTATTTTTAAATATTGTCTGAACAATTTATAGTGTTGAATGCATTCATCAAGCTCAATTATTCAACCTTTTTTTTTTTTTTTTTCTAATTTTGTACATTTGAATTTAAACTTTATAAAATCTGTATTTTTACAATTTTCCAATTAATTATGATATTTTCTTTAAAAACTAGTTTCGCTTTCACAATGAAAAACACAGCGGCCTAGCGTGAGGGGAAGACAACCTTTTTTTTTTTTTTTTTCTAATTTTGTACATTTGAATTTAAACTTTATAAAATCTGTATTTTTTATTTTTACAAATTAATTATGATATTTTCTTTTCGTTTAGGATCTTTATTTTATTTAAAGGATTTTTTTTTTTTTTTTAGGATTTTATAGAATGTAAAAGTGTCCGATATTTTGGTACCATGGTCAGTGGGGTGGTCATTTTTTATTTAATTTAATTTAATTTAATTTAATTTAATTTTATTTTATTTT